TTAATTTGGGATTCATTATCAGAACTTGCACCAACTACATGGTGGAAAGGAAACTATAATTCTGTTGCACATGATTTATGTCAAGTAGCAATTCGAGTTTTAAATATTCCTACATCTTCAGCTGCCTCTGAACGAAATTGGTCTGCATTTGCGACTATCCATGACAAAAAAAGAAATAGACTTACTCCGGAACATGTTTTGAAACTAGTATATATTTATTCTAATTATCGCCTATATTTATCGAAAATTGGTCAACAGAAACAGCAAAACTTTGAATTATTAAATTTTCAAGAAACAGTCAATAATGATAATGAAAATTATAAAATTATCGAACAAGATAATGAAGATATTCAAGAATTTGATGAACACGATGAATTATTAAATTTACATGAAAGTGATGACGAATTAATAGATTTGGATGAAAGCGAAGATGAAAATAATGAATAAGGTAAAATTAAAAATTAATTTCTATATCGAAGTTAATTTAAATATTTTGGATATTTATTTATAATATATTTTGCTATATTCGTTCTCTAATATTAGAATTATTACCTAAGTCTTGTAATTCTTTGAGTTTCTTATTCCCAAAGCTTGTTTTATAAACATAGGCCGAAATATGAATATTTGATAAGAATTTTGCAAAATTTAATAGATCGAGGATATAATAATTTTTGCGAATTTGTTATATAACTTTTCTTTTCAAGCATTTAAAAAAAAAATACCATAACTATTTGAAATTATTATTGTAATGACTATTTCTCCGATTATATTAATGCTATAGCAAATATTTAAAAAATATATTATTTCGCTTCTTAAAACCAATATATTTTGAAGATAAAATATAAAAATTTAATTAGCTATGGTATAGTAATAAGGTCTTATGCTTTTCACTACGAATTTTAATATTTTAAAAAAAGTTTTTTATATGACCTCACATAACATCGCGCAAAATCGCGCAATGTGATCTCGCGTGAGGTTGTGAATAAATGCTAGTTTGACCTCGCGCGAGGTACATCTCTAATCTAAACATATTAAATGTGTATGGTATAAGGTAAAGAGCAAGTAGGAATAAAGTAACGAGTTGGTTTTTTACTAACGCTACGTAAATCGAAATTTACTAAATAGAGTTAAGATACTACGTATTTTTTTTTTACTTTACTCAAATTTTGGTGTAATATGAACGACATTCATTTTACGTTTTATTCCTAAAGTCTAATTCTATCTTTAAATTTTGAAATAATCTTATGATGCGAATCATTTAAAGACCTCCAAATTTGCCACGTTCCAGATTTCGCAAAAACAGTACTTTACACTATAACAGATAATTTTTATCTACGTACTTATAAGAATCGTTCGTCGAGTATATAGTAGAGAATTTTTCATACAGTATTATTCTGCTATTTGATTGGTTCAAATAGCCACAATTAATAATATTTGATGATTCGCTCCATAGCACCATAGTGAATTTTATCTCTTACTAATGATTTTCAATTAATACTGTATAAGCTAAAAGGTTTGTTTATTAGTAAATATACACAGTACTGTATCAATGAATCTAAATATAGCTCACTTTAAGCAGTAGGTTGGAACAAATAATTTGCGGCTATTTTACACTAATGCTAATCTAATCCCAAAAATTATTATAAAGTTGTATTTGTAGCAAAGATAAAAAAGGGTAATAAACAATTTTTTTAAATAGCTTATTACTTGGCAACCAGCAAAAAAAAGGCAATTTCATAGACTTAATGACTTTACGCCACAAATTTAGTCACGTGTCTAAACTTGGCGTTGGGCAATCATCATACGATAATATTAACGCTATCGCTATTGACAAAAAATATCATTGATATCACAATAAATGCGTAGGAAGATCACTCTCACAGCCTTAAAATAGTGCAAAGCAAAAACATCGATCATTAACTCAATATTTGCAGCAATTGATCGGAATCACAGCCGCAATCTCGATTAACGAGAATTACCGTGGGCAAAGCATGTGGCAAAGTTTTTTAATCAAAAGCGGATGTTATCGATTATAGTACTTAAAGCAATTTATTAAAGTAATAAATAAATAAACTCGAAAGAAATTTCCTGAATTAGGTAAACCCAGGGGCGCAATTTACGCAATACGGGCATTCGTATTTATATTTCTAATTTCGTGATTTCTTTAATTAAACTTGTCTGAATTCTTGATTTCGTAAAACTCCGACATATACATCAAGAAGGGTAACCATCTATTAATACTTGCTAATTAATCAAGTTATGCATGATAGATACCTTTTTTGATGTATAATTTATATGGAACTTTCAGGGGCTTTCAGTAAATTATATTGTAAATTTTCTATTTTTATTACTATATTGTATATCGGATATTGTATGATTTAGACAAAAAAATTAACGTAATTGTGATATATTGTAAGAATTCATCATATTTTATCAGCCTACACGAAATCAATTCTTGCAAAATATGTACGAGTTACGGCTTGTTTTATCATGTCATCCAATGTGTAACGCATACCAATTCCAATATAAAACATATTCAGTTTTTTCAATCCTTCACAGCCTCCGGGGATCGATCTAAAGCGGATTTTTTTTTGAAAAAATTTATAAACATCGTTCATACTGAAATAAATTACTTTTTACTTTTTACACGAAAAAAGAAAACCGCACCTATATAAAGAAGAGTTAAATAATTATAATTTTAATTATAATTATAGAAAAAAATTGCAAGCTCTTTGAATTAATAAATTTCATACCTTCTTTTTACGGATTCAAATGTCGAATTTTCAAGGTGGGTATCCTCCAGAAGGAGGATATCCTCCTGAACAACAATATAGTGGTTATCCACCACAAGGTTACCAACCATATCAAACTGAAGGAGATTCTCAACCCTTAATTACTCCTCAAGGCGTATCTTTTGCTGAGCCTGATAGATCTTCACGTCATTTTGGTAGAGCTCCAGCGCGTCAACCACGTCGTTACAAAACTACAAAACGTGTAGAATTATATCAAGGGAATTTAGTATTAGATTGTCCTGTACCTACTGAATTATTGAGAAAAGTTCCAAAAAGAGAAGATAGAGAGTTCACACATATGAGATACACTGCTTGCACGTGTAAACCAGATGACTTTAAGAAAGAAAGATATACACTTCGTCAGCTACTTTATGATCCTCCAAGGCAAACTGAATTATTTATAGTGTTGACTATGTATAATGTAAGTGTTATTTTAATTAATTTATATCTTAATATATATACTATTCGGATATCAATAAAATTCCGTGATGTACTGTTACATCGTGATCTACATATATAACCCAATATATATATATATATGTATATGGACCAAAATGTTATTACCTCATATATAAAATTGGTCCGGGTTCACCCATATATATACTCAGGGTTTCACATATTTTAATTTTATTTCAAAATGCTATAACAACATAGTACTTTCTATCAATTTTATTTATTTATTTATTTTTAATTTAAACAGGAAGATGAAGTTCTTTTTGCCCGTACTTTTCATAGTGTTGTGAAAAATATTACTCATCTTTGCAGTCGTGATCGTTCTCGTGTTTGGGGTGAAAATGGATGGAAAAAAGTTGTTGTATGCGTTGTATCCGACGGTCGTTTAAAAATTAATCAACGTACTTTAGCTTATTTGGCTGCTATTGGTGTTTATCAAGATGGTGTAGCAAAAAATACTGTTGGAAACAGGGAAGTTACTGCTCATATTTATGAGTATACTACTCAACTCTCAATTGATGCTGATATGAAATTTAAAGGTGAAAAGGGTGAAATCGTTCCTGTTCAAGTCCTATTTTGTCTTAAAGAAAAGAATGCTAAAAAGATTAATTCTCATCGTTGGTTCTTTAACGCATTTGGTGCTTTAATTAATCCAACTGTGTGTATTCTTCTTGATGTTGGTACTAAACCTGGTGGTACTTCTCTCTATCATTTATGGAAAGCTTTTGATCTCAATTCTAATATTGCTGGCGCATGTGGAGAAATCGTTGCTATGAAAGGAACTGCTGGTGTAAATCTCTTAAATCCTATTGTTGCCGCTCAAAACTTTGAATATAAAATATCCAATATTTTGGATAAACCTCTTGAATCCGTATTTGGTTATATTACTGTATTACCCGGTGCTTTCTCCGCTTATCGTTATATCGCTCTTCAAAATGATCAAAATGGAAATGGCCCTTTGGCTTCTTATTTTTTGGGTGAAGCAGCTCATGGTGCTGATGCTGATATCTTTACCGCTAATATGTATCTCGCTGAAGATCGTATTCTCTGTTTCGAATTGGTAGCAAAACGTAATTGTTCTTGGTTATTACATTATGTTAAATCTGCATATGCAGAAACTGATGTACCTGATCAAGTACCTGAATTAATTTCTCAAAGACGACGTTGGTTAAATGGTTCCTTCTTTGCTGGTGTTTATGCTATTTGTCATACTTTTGCTATTTGGAGAAGTGATCATACTATGATTCGCAAAATCTTTTTACACGTTGAAATGGCTTATCAAGCATATAACCTTTTCTTCTCATGGTTTGCCTTGGTAAGAAATGCTCGTGTCACATTTATATATATATATATATAATTATTTATTTTACGTAATTAATACATTTCTTTTGCTTTAGGGTAATTTCTATTTGACATTTTACATTTTGGGCAATTCTTTAACCGATCCTCTGGTTATTGAGGGCCTTTGGAGTAAATCTGTGGGTGACATAATCTTCCAGATTCTACGTTACATTTATCTGGCATTACTTATGATCCAATTCGTTTTAGCCATGGGAAATAGACCTCAAGGGTAAATTTCAATAATAATAAAATTTTTTGATCATTCATTCGTTATTCAGTAATTCAGTAATTCAATAACAGTACTGACTTATATACTTTATAGTACTCGATGGGCTTACGTTAGTTCGATAACATTCTTTTCCGGCCTTATGTTATATATGTTGTTCGCGACAGGTTGGCTTACATATAAAGGGGTTAAATTCCAATTAGAAGAATTACGTAACACAAGTAGTCTTACTGGTGCCAACATGTCTACCGCTGGCGCCGTTTTGGCTGACTCTACTTTTAAAAATATTATCCTTTCTGTGATTACCACATATGGATTATATTTCTTTGCAAGTTTCTTATTCTTTGAACCATGGCATATGTTCACTAGTTTAGGACAATATTTGCTGCTGGTACCATTTTATATAAATATCTTGAACGTTTATGCGTTTTGTAACGTTCATGACGTCAGGTAAAAAAAAAAATTGATCTCATTTTAATTTTTTAATCATTAAAACTATTGCGTTTTCTTACATAAGCATTATTATTTTTCATAATGCAGTTGGGGTACAAAGGGTGATACTGGAACAAAAAAAGACTTGGGAACTGTTGCTGCGCCTGGAAAAGGTGGTGAGGTTGAAGTTGAAGCACCTGTTGATCAGAAGGATATTAATGCTGCGTATGATGAAGCTGTTAATGAATTATCACGACATGTTGAAGAACAAGTAAAGAAGCGTTCAGCACAAGAAAAACAAGATGATTATTATAAAGCATTCCGTACAGAAGTAGTGCTTGCTTGGACCATTAGTAATTGTGCATTAGTAGCTGCTATTACAAATTCCAGTACAACTTTAAATGCAATGTTGCCTCAAGATAAAAGAAGTAATGATTATATGGCTTTCATTCTTTGGTCTGTAACTGGATTGGCTTTTTTCAGATTTATGGGTTGTTGCACGTATTTACTTTTCAGGTTGTTTACTGGTTAGTTTTATGACAGATAATATTGATTTTCTTTTTTATCGGAGGATTGTAATATTTTTCAGCGATATATATATATATATTTAAAGATTGTACTGTAATATCTTACGGTGTAATGTAAAGTTAAATCAAATAATGACATTATAAATATTAACTATGTATGATATTATTTTTTAAAGAAAAAAAACAAGTATTTATTAATTCCTGAACTTTTTAGATAACTTTTTTTTTTGTACATACACGTGTTGATAAATTACACAAAAATTCTTTAACGTTAAAAGTCAATCGGCAACACGAATTCACACTCTTGTGCCTATAAATCATTTTAACATTTGAACTTGCTTTCATTTGAATTCATCAAAGGTCAAAAGAAAATCTATCTACAAACATCAAACCAAACATCAAAAAAGAAAAGATAAAATAATCCTCCAAAAAGAACCTCAAAATTTTTTTTTTTGTTTTTTTTTTGTTTTTTGTTTTTTTTTGGGTTTTTCTTTTTTCGCTTTTTTTTTTTTCTTTTTTTTTAAAAAAAATTTTTAATACAATAGCAAAACCATTTTGATGACAAATAAAGCTATTTACAAATGATTGATGACATCAAAACTAAAAAAAATTTAGCGCAAAGAAAAAGTCCGTTAAACAAAAATATAGTCCATTTGTGATACAGGAAAAAAGGTAAAGGGTGAAAAGAATTTCATATAATATACATAATGTATGTAAAAGTGCAAATATGTAAAAAGGAAAAAAAAAAGAAAAAGAAATGCGTAATTTACACGATAAAATGAGTTGCTAACAAAAGTTTGTAATGTTATTTAATGCTTCTAGTCCGTATATGAATTGATGCATATCCATATACATTAAAACACAAAAAGCGTTGTCTACATGTATATGTTGCTCATTTCAATGACTTTGTATATCTTGTTATTATACATACATGCATACATATATACATACATACAAACATACATACAATAACTGTTTATAGCGAATCCAGTTAAGGTTAATAGTCAGAATTGAGCTTTGGAATCAAAAACACCCACAAAAAAAAAAAAAAAAAAAAAAGAACTTTTATCACTGCCAATTCCTTTCTAAAGTTACACCACCAGCTGCGACCTCATTTGCAACTTTCTTTGCAAGAACCATTCGTATATTTTCAAACCCTTCAATATCCCCACCTCCAAGTGTTATAGTATTGCCAATACTACTCCGTTTCCCAGAAATATTTGTTGCAGTAGCGCTTGAACCCATGCTATTTGCAGATGAAGCACTTGAACTGCGTTGCATCAGAGTTGTTGGTTTTGGAAGTAACGGGGGAGGTGCAGAAGAACGTGGTTCTTCTAATGACCTACGTGATGTAATAGATTTAGAATTGACTGAGGATGTACGCCCATGTGCTTTTATAAAAGCTGTGGCATGATTCTTTTGATTCAATTCTCCACTGGATGAACTTCTGGAATGAGAAGATGATCTTATCATAGCGGTAGGACTCTTTAATGAATCACCGCTTTCATGCCCTCCAAACATAACCCTCATGGCACGCCAACTTGCTCTTTTATTGCTAGTTTGTTCAGATTGGGATCTAACAATTTCTTCGGAGCAATCATCATATAAAGAATCAATATCTGCATCCCCGTTTTTGTTCTTTTCCTCTTTTTCCTTTTCGTCTCGTGTTTTATCCAAACTACTTCGAGAACCAAATAAGAAGCTTCCAACTTTCTCAGTGATGTTTCTTTTTTCCTTTATACTACCACTTTCTTTGTCTGAAATGGGCCCAGCCCTATCTGATTTTGTAGTAGTTGATGCAATCGAAACTGTATCCACTACTTCTTCGCTATGCGGTCGTGATTCACCACTACCACTGGTTGAACTCGTCCTCCCTACACCACTGCTCGTGTTAGTGCTTGTGCTTGTACCACTCCCACCACCAGTACTTCCGGTACTTCCACGTTGAGCACCATTGGTATTCGAAACTGTGCCACTTGGAGTTCCACTCCATGATGTGGTAGTCGGTGCTCGACTATTGTTACTATAAGAATTTTTATGAGGTTCACGTAGGGAACTTAATTCATCAACACTCTTTTGCGGAATCCAGACGCGCGTCAATAAATAATGCGTTATCAATTGTTGCTTTTCTTCAATCAATTCATCATCATCATCATTTCTATGGTAATATTTATTTGCACCAGTTCTATGCAAAGCAGCACTTATACTTGAAGTGCGAAAATGATGTTTTGTCGAAGCTTTTATATAAGAAGAAGGAGGAGAAGAATAATATTTTGGACCGTTTTGATAACGATGCATAGTTTGTAACATTTCTTGAACACGGGAATCATCATGTATCCCCGTGGGAGAAGACACCGAACGAGACGCAACAGGAGATTGAACGTTATTAGACAATGGAATGGAAGAAGAATTTGAAGAACATTTTATAGCGGCAAGAAGGTAAGTAGCATCCATAATAAAAGTACCTAAAAATGGTATAGTCGGTTTTCTCAAGAATCCATCACGTTGTATCGTTTCTCGATATTTACCATAATTCCTTGCTTCACTCATCATTTCATTAAGAGCTTCCAATTTAACCATACTCTTTTTTGGAATACAAGCCCAAGTTCTTTTTAGTCTTTTAATAGGGGTAGTACCTAACGCGGACAAAACCGCTTTTAAAGTCTGAAAATTATACAGTTCATTCAATTTTCCAGCTACTTTAACCCAATGATTTATTATTTGAGCACGTAAAGAAGCTTCTGATGGTAATAAAATAGAACGTTCTATAATACGAGTCAAATAATTGAAAAAGTCAGTTGAAGCAGTAATTTTTGGATCCGGATTTTTAGCAGAATGAGAAAGTAATGCATATGGGTCAATTTCCAAAAAGATAGCGGATTCTATAAGAGTTAATTGATAAGCTATCAAATGAGGGGCAAACTCCAAGATATCTGGATCGGAAGCCGCTTTATACACAAGTTTACGAGATCTCGTTATTGATTGTTTAAAACTGGCCACTGTTGAACTGTACTTTCCGATAGCTTCCTTGATTTCTTCATCCGACAATTCAGATCCTTGTCGATCTTTATCATCAGTATGACCCTCTTCCCTCATTTTCGTTATCGCACGATACTCTGCTAATTTTGATTCCAAAGTCTGTATTTTTTGTTCCAATTGAGCATGTTGAGTTAATAAAGGAGAAGAAGGAATATCTGGGACATGATCCACATATTGAGAAGAAGAAGGAGAACTTGGAGTATTATCTTCAATAAGAGTTGTAGCCGTCACCAAGTTATTTGGATCTACAGCACCTTCCGGTATAACATTGATCATTTTTGGACGTTCAAATAAATTTGGTAATGTTGATGGAACAGATAATGAACCGTAAAAAGACGCAGGAGTAGCAGGTGAAGTCAAATGAGAAGAATAAGGACTCTCTTCATCTGTAGGAGAGTCAGTTATCGAACCATTTATTGTTGATCTTCTCTTTGAAGCAGAAGCAGCAACACTGGGGGACGAAGATCTTCTCCGATGCAACGTATGAGAAGAGTTTAAAGATGGGTCAGATCTACGATGAAAAGATCCTATAAAAAAATAAATTAGATAAGAATTTTAAGATCTAAACATAACATTATTTCACATGATACACATGGTGATATTCATTACCACGTCCACGTATATAACTGTCATCTTCATCATCGGAGTCCGAACTGTCGTCATCACAAACAGCATGTGTATCGTTACTATCAGCCGAAACTTCAATATCACCAGAATGCCTTTTCATACTTGGTCTACGAACAGGCTTCGGAGGTAGAGGTGGTTTCGTAATCGGAGAAGTTGGTTGATCGCTTTTTGGTGAGTTTTGAGATGACCCGCCATCGCTCAACCTTGCAGACCTGCGAGTTGGTTTTGGAGGTATTGGAGGTGCTTTATTTTGTGGATCAAGAGGATGTTCTGCTTGTTGTGGTGTAGGAGGATATATGGCTATGTTAAGATTTGGATTTTTTCTTGATGATGTAGGAACAGTTTGATTTTTGGTAATTATATCTTCGGCATATGTTAAGCACGTCCGAGATATTGTAAAGAGCGAAGAATATGACACAGGTTTTGATGCCACGACTAAATCCAATAGAAAAATATTTTTAAATAATGCTTGCAAAGCAAACTATATTTGATATTTTAATAGATATAGTAGATTTAACAGATTTAGTAATGTTCAGTCTTACCATTATTTACAAATTTAATGTTATTCAACTCTTTTGAAGCTACTTCAAGTGCATTCATATAAGCAAAGTATGCATCCTAAATGAATCGTCATTGAAAAGAAAAGTCAGATGCAAGAACAAACAAATGATATGATCGGTTATTTCATACAGGTTAAAAAGCAAAGTATGAATCACCTTAACATTTCCCAGTGACAAATATTCTGTCGCTGCTTTTAAGATCTCTTGTATGTTCTCCATGTATCTATAAATTTTTTTAGGCTATCTACTTTTCTCACTTTCCTCAAACTTTCCTCAAACTTTTCTCAAAACTTCCTCAAACTTTTGAGAGTGTATTTTCAAAACTACCACACAGACTAAACCTTTTTTATTACGTTGTTTCAATTTAATGATGCTTTTGCTTGTACAGGTAATCTCAATTTTAACTTTATAAGTCCAAGAGGGGGGTGAAAAGATGAAGACGAAAATCGTAATTTGTACATGTAAAACTTATGAATCATACGGTCATTAAAACAATGAAAGAATTCTTATATATATTTTAAATTTTTTTTTTCTATATCTTGCGTGCTTTTGGTTTTTTTTTCTTGTATAAAAGATATATTTAAAAGGTAGAAAATCGAGAATACACTCAAAATAAAACTATATACATACGAGAAAGATAAAATAACTGTTGAAACTAGGAGGTTAGATATTTGTACTTCCCTAAATATCGATATGATGTATTATAAGATATTAACAATCACCGGATATTCAATGATCAGATCACTTAAGGTCTAAGCAAGGGGCAACAGGGACAATTGACCGATGATATTTGATGATATTTATATTTCTGCTATTTTTACATCTACTTTTTTAATTAACATGAAATATTCCCATTCTTGGGTCAAAGATGTCAAAAAGGGTTGGTTAGTGTATAGAATACGTAAGATGCACGTACTTACGTACTTAGGATATTGTATAACTATGATATCGGCTCCAATCCCGGCTTAAGTCTATTTATCTCATTGGCGCATATAAACTTAATTTTGGCCGGATAATACAATAATTTTCTCTTATTAAAATCTGATTTGTCAGATTTTTTTTTTGTCTCACAGATCCCCTATTCCCCTAGGCTGTTTGACCTCAGCCTACATTTGAATTTAAGTCAACAATTTACCGCCCAGGTTTCTTCGTCTTAAATTACTTGACTTTTTGACCAGAGTTGAAACTAAAAAAAAACGAAATAACTGATAAAGCAACTATTTTGTGTACATTCGCGTCTTTAAAGCAAAATGCCTAGCGACACGCGCCCAACGCAGTTTGGAACTCAACCAGACCACCTCGTTGACCCTGAACTCTTGCGTCAATTAAATGCTAAAAGAGATGTTGTATGTGTTTCTTGATCGCGTTTGTTCAACCTAAAAATAACTTATTAGGATTACCCTTTCTAAATTTATTAATTTATAATTTAAGCTTGTGAACGCATATGATCAAATCGCTCAAGCACTTAGATTTGCTGCAAAAGCTTGTGATGAATTTCAATCGTTAATCCCAAGAGATGTAGGCATTGTTCCTAGCGATAATCACATGAGTGGTTCCGGCCACTCTTTACATCCATCAAGAAAATTTAAAAAGTCTCAGATAAAGGATCCAAATGCTCCAAAACGTCCAAACACAGCTTATATCTTGTTTAGTAATGAAATTCGCGCTGAGACAAAAGCTGATAACCCAAATGCAAACCAAAAAGAAATCGTAACTCTCATAGGTCAAAAATGGAAAGCTTTGTCAAGAGAACAAAAAAAAGTATTTATTATTCATCTTATTAATTTATTTCATCACAAATCTTATTCATTTAATTTAAATTTAATAAATTCATAGGTTTATGAAGACCGTTATTTTGCTGATAAAGAACGATATGATGAAGAACTTCGTGTATATAGAGCAACACATGGTCACGTAGAATCACCCCCTGAAACATCTTCTAATGAAGATAATGGGGATCATGGTGCTGCCTCGGCTAAACTTGTTTCTAATGCACCAAATGTTTACGTTCCTAATTTGGGTCCTATTTCCGCAACTTCTGTTGGTGCAATTCAAGGCGATGTCAGCACAATGCCTATTTCTGTACCACCATCGGAAACCGAAAACTCTGCCTTGTTCGAATCTTTCATTGGTGCATTCCAAACAGGAGAACAGCAAGATGCGCTTGCTGCGGCATTAGCAACATCAGTTGAAGCTATTTCAGGTTCAACTTCTAATTTAAATAAACGTACCTCTACTGAAGATGACTCAGCTGACGTCTCGAAACAGGATGACGAAGCTCCTGCGGCAAAAAGAACACGTGCTTCCTCTAAAAAAGCTAATGAGGAAGATGTTTTTAATCCACCGGCTGATGATCTTGGAACTAATACTGAACAAAATGATTCAGCCACTACAACGAAGAGAACAAGAACTAAACGAGGGGCTGCTGCTAATGGCGCTGCATCAACATCTCAATCTAAGACCGCTTCTGCTGCTACTACTCGTAGTCGACGCGGTGGAAATGCTTGAATTTTTTTTTTTAAAAAAAAAATAATAAATAAAAATAAAATAAAAAAAAAACAAAAAAAAAAAAAAGAAAAAAAAAAATCGAATAGTAATAACTACATTTGAACGTAAAAACCTTTCGCTAATTAAATATTCATTATGTTCGCTCGGTCGTTCATAATGTATATGTATGTTAATATATTCCCTTTTTTGTTCTGTTGTTTTCTTTTTTAATTTTATTATTGTTTTGCTGTGCACTTTGCACTTTATAATTATATATAAATAGACAATTTTACTTCATGTAGATTTTTTTAGTGCGTTTATATATAAGTAAACCAATTTGTCATTTATTTTTTTATACTTGAATTATAAATTTTGATGTTATACATCAGTAATTATTTGCGAGCATAAATAAATTCATTTGGAACTTTTCAAGTTTCACAATTATTTTATCTTTTGCTATTTGTTTTTGTTAAAAGTGTAATGTTTCACCCGAGAATTCAACATCGACTTTCTTAAAAAAGATGTGTGTGAACTCAATGATAAAAAATCTCGGTCCATCTCCATCTGCTATTTTTAAGTTATTTACATGTATAATTAGTTTTATATAAGTAAATCGATGCTCATAAATGTTTAAAAATTCCCGGTATTATACCTGATTTTTTGTATAATAATTTACATCTCGTATTACGTACATATCCAGTAATATCATCAGCATTTTTAAACTGGTTGTGTTAAATTCTTAATAATCATTACAGCATTATGGCGAGTACTTCAGAAGAGTGGCTCAAAAATGCTATATCCGAAGGACATATTAATTATCTTGAATATGATAAGCTTACGTATAGTGGAATAATCGGTACAGGAGGTTTTGGAACAGTTTCTAAATTCGAATGGAAAGATTGTGGATTAATTGTCTCTTAAGGTCGATACAAATCCAGATAAAGATGTTATAAAAGAATTTATTAATGAGGTATAAAATTAAATCTACTTTAAAATATACAGTCTGGGTTGTGAATAGACAGGTATTAGACTTCATTAGACATCCATTAGACATACAAAAGCATATACTTGTCTAATGATTTTTTTCATTAGACTATGTAAGCTCACAACCCTGATACAGTATTATTAAATTATTAATTTGAATTTATATTTAATAAAGTTAAAGTTGTTAAGAAAAGTTTGTTACCATCCAAATATTATTACATTTTATGGAATTTCTAAAGGTATTTAAACTTTTTAAACCATTAAAAAATAGTAAAAAAGAGAGAATATATTAATTTTAAATTCTTTATATAAATTAATAGATCATGATGGACACTATAATATGGTTTTACAATTTGCTAGCGATGGAAATTTACGGGAATATCTAGAAAAAAATTTTGTAAAATTACAATGGCCAGATAAAGTAAATATCGCTAAGGAAATATTACATGGTCTTATTTTCTTACATGATAATAATATTATTCATAGGGATCTTGTAAGTATATAAATTTATTTATACGGTATAAATTTAAAATATATATACATGCATTTTACATTTATAATATATCCGTAATTTTATTTTAGCATTCAAAGAATATTTTAATTCATCAAAGAAACCCAAAAATTGCAGATTTTGGTCTGTCAAAACAGATAAATGATACATTAAACTCAATGACTTCAAACTCAACTGCTGAAGGAATGCTAGCATACATAGAACCTCTATGTCTTACTAACCATAAATATAAACGCAATAAGAAATCTGATATTTATAGCTTTGGAGTAATACTTTGGGAAATTTCAAGTGGTAGACCGCCATTTCAATCATTTGTGTCAAGAGATGAACTTGTTATTCATATCTTCCTAGGAAACAGAGAAGAACCAATAGAAGGTACTCCATCTCAATATATTGAACTTTACAGTCAATGTTGGGATAAGAGTCCTGAGTTTCGTCCGGAAACAAGTTCAATTCTTTCAACTTTAAATCAAATTATTCCTAATGAATCATTAAATGAACCTATTCATAACGAAATATCTGTTCAAAATAATGAAACATCATCATCTTTAATACATTTAGATTTACTTGAAATCACAACATCATCACCGCTTTATATGTATAACACAATCGACGTTGATTTTTCAATCAAGGATGATAATACTTCAGATCAACAAGTTTCAAATATCTCGATACAGGATGATCTTATACTTGTGAATAAAAGAAAGGAAGCAAATGAATGTTTATTTGGTACCAAATTCGTCAAAGCATTAGAACTTCATGAAGAAATTCTTAATAATAGTCATCATAGTGGTGAAGATAAAGAAAATGCTTCAAACTGGGATCTAAGTTTTAGAAATATTGATCTCGAAGGTAAAAATGAACTAGCAAAGGTTCTTTGTAAAAATACTATTCCGACTTCTTTGGTTATAAGTTATACCTCGATTAAACTTGATAAAGAAGAGGCACTAACAGAGGCTCTTTGCAAAAATACTACTCTGACTCATTTGAATTTTGATATTAGTTCATTTAGTTCCAAGGGAGTAGAAGCGTTAGCAAAAATTCTTTGCATGAATACTACCCTGACTTCTTTAATTCTGAGTCAATGTAAACTTGGTTCTGAAGGAGGAAAAACATTAGCAGAGGCTCTTTGTAAGAACACCTATCTGACTTATTTGGACATTAAATCTAACAATTTCGGTTCTGATGGAGGAAAAGCATTCGCAAAGACTCTTTGCAAAAACACCACATTGGCTTATTTAGATATTTCATATAATAATCTTGGTTCTGAAGGAGGACAAGCAATAGCAAAGGCTCTTTGTAAAAACACCACTTTAACGTCGTTAGACATTAAATCCAATGAACTTGATTTGGAAGTAGGAAAAGAATTAGCAGAAGCCCTTTGCAAAAACACAACATTGACTTCCTTAGTTATTGGTGAAAACGAATTTGGATTCGAAGGAAAAAAGGCACTAGCAGAGGCTCTTTACAAAACTACCACCTTAAATTCTTTAAAATTTGGATATAGTAAACTTGGATATAGTAAACTTGGTTTAGAAGGAGGAAAAGTACTAGCGGAGGCTCTTTACAAAAATACCACTTTAACATCTTTAGATATCCAATATAACAACCTTAATAATGAGGGTGGAAATTTATTATTGGAAGCTTTTGTCGAAAATACTTCTATAACCTCCTTAAGTCTTGAACGATGCCTTCTTAATTTAAAAGGAAAAATTATATTAGCTGAAGGTCTTTGCATAAATACCACCTTAACCTCTTTAAATCTCAATGGAGTTTCCTTTTTTGAAGGAGGAAAAGCATTAGCAGAAGCTTTGAATAAAAATATTACATTAACTGTATTGAATCTTGAGCAAGGTCAACTTAGTTCCGAAGCGATAAAAGTGTTGTCAGAAGCTCTTTGCCAAAACACTACTTTGAATTTCTTAAATTTGCGGCAGAATGAATTGGACCGTAATGATGGAAAAGCATTAGCAAAAGCTCTTTACAAAAATACCGCCCTAACTTCTTTAGACCTTAGTTATAATAAATTTGGACCTGAAGAAGGAAAAGAACTAGCGAGAGCTCTTTACAACAACACCACATTAACTTCATTAAATCTTGAAGGAAATAAACTTAGTTTTGAAGGTGGAAAAGCATTAATAGAAGCCCTTCACAAAAACACTACTTTAACTTTTTTAAATATTATACTTATTAATCTTAGCCCCAAAGAACAAGCAGTATTAAAAAAAGCTTCTAATAAAAATAAAACTATTTTTTTTGATTTTATAGATTATACTGGCAAAGGTCTAAACCGATGAAAAATACTAAGCATCGATCGAAAAAGTCTTAAGTGAACATTTACCAAGCATTGGTTACATAAGTTAAATTTATATACATAATTTTCCAGTCTATAAGTCTTAGGATAAATAAATTATCTAGGGATCTAATTTGGAATTTTTAATAAAGTAATTGATTGGCCTTAAAATTCTAATATTATAATCAAAGTATTTATAAGTATATATTTATTAATTATTTAAAGTATATAGTTATTATAAGTACTTATTAGATAAGATTTAATATATCTTAGTTTTAATAAGTATTGGCATTTGGCTAGCAATTATTTAACACATTTTGACATTAAATTTATACAATATTTATTTTCATACAAAGTGATATTTAATTTTGTACAAAATAATAATTAAATTTGTACAAAATAATAATTAAAGTAAGTTTGTTTAAATTATAATATTTTATAATCTAGAGGTGTAGTGATAAAGTGCAGTGGTCAAGTTGTCACCTCCTGGCAAATTTGTAATTAAGATACAGAGTTTAAATTCCCTGGTAATATTTCAAATAAAATACTTGTATTATAGTAACTAATTTTTATATTAAAGAAAAAACATGTGTTTTAACAAGAAAAGAAATATCTAAAACCTAGGCAAACCAATTCTACTAACTATTAGGTCGGAAGTTTAGAAAACAGTAGAAGGTTTATGGAATAAATAGGAAGTGAATACTAAAATTTAAAAACTTTACAAAGCAAAAATATAATAGATTATAGTAAAAATAACTTTTAAATATGTAGATTTAAGCTATAGTATAAATTATAAAAGACTAGATAAATACTTGTGTAGAACAAGTACTACTTTAACAGGTTTATTTTAAGGATAAACTAGTTTCAAAATATATTTAAAATTTAAAAATCTGTCTAATTATTATAATAATAGAATTAAAATTATAAATTAGAAAGTTTAAATAAGTAATCTTGTAGTTAAATTGCAAATATAATAGCTAGTATAAAACCTGGTTGTACTTTTATTGTAACTAAAATAAAACTTTTAATAAAAATTATAGTTAAAAAAGTTATTTTAAAACTAAAAAAAAATGTTTATAATCTAGTAATTTAATTTAAATAATTATAATATTTTTAAATTGTTTTATTAAAAAGAATTTACACAAAATCAAATCCGGATAACTGATTTACCCGTATCTACACGGATTGATCTGCAATTCGAACAGTTAACTATATATAGTTTGAACAGTTGATCGGCAATTCGTATAAACTGTAAAGTTTGTATAGTTTGAACAGTTGATCAGCAATCCGTATAAACTGTACAGTTTGTATAGTTCATACTAGTGATGTGAACTATTCAAATCTGTGTAAATTTCATTAATTTGTTTTTTACAAATCATATTATCATATTTATATAAGTAATCTTCTATACTGTATTATCGAATGACACTAATTCATATAGCTTAAATTCTTAATAGCTAACTATAGTTTTAATAGTTAACTGTAGTTTGATGTTAACTATAGCTAACTATAGTTTAATAGTTAACTACAGTTAACTATAGTTTAATAGCTAACTATAGTTTTTACAGTTATCTGTAGTTATCTATAGTTCAAGTAGTTAACTATAGTTAACGCAGTTTTGAATATTTGACCGTATGGATGATCCGGATTACACAAAAATACGGATTTCAAACAGTTATCCGGATTGTCGATCAACGGATCATATCACTATACAAGATATTATTTTTATTTTTTATTTTTTAAACTTTGACAGTCTTGTTAGTATCTTTTATTAACAGATAATAAATTAACAACGATAAAACTAGAAGCTATAACCAGTGTTTATTTTTCACAGTGTGCGCATGTGCGCGCACTGTGTGGGTCCAATCAAATTTTGAAATAAAGCAATTTGATTGTGTCCGCACAGCACGTGCACATGCGCACACTGTGAAAAATAAACACTGGCTATAACTATTGTTATGGATTAAAATTATACTTAACAACTGTACATATATTTTTCTTTATTTTCGTATTTATTTATTATGTTGTCATGTGCCAAATTTCATTTTGATAACAATGCCCAATATAGTATGTTCATTATATATATATTTTTTTTAAAGTTAAGGAGACTTCTTTGGTCTGAAAGCTTTTATTAGGATTTGAAATAGTGTTTTATATGCAATTACAACAATGGTACATCAAGCCACACATGCACCTTTTGAGTGCCTAATTTAAGTAGTCCGCCCGAAAGTTCTACAACTAGGGGGTACCCATTTAAACTATCTGGTTACAACTGCCACCGGTTAACCACCTAACCCTGGGTTTTCTCACCATTTATACTGCATATAGATTTTGGTATCACCCTGGCAAAGGATTACTGACTGCCTTAGGACTTACCAACCATTTCTGGCTAATCTATTCTCGAGATAAACCTAACAGAGCAGTACATGTCCCACACATGTATTCACCTGCATGTTCCTATAACTTCTTCCTAATTCAGTCAGGGGATATACCGAATTAGGACATCAGGTTCTAGAATGATCTACGCAATGATTCTCGAATTTGATTGGCTCTTGCGCACCTTTTTGCCTGCATTTTTCGGGGATTTTTATTCTTTTAATTCATTATTGGAAATCCAAGAACAAACACATAATTAGACGATATAAGACACCTACTTTAAATAATCCACAATAATCCACGCGAGTTGCTGCTTGTTAAAAAAGTAGATGAGACCCGAAGTTCAAGAATCTTTTACACACAAGCGGAAAGGTAAGAAGGCTTAGTCGTTGTAATTATGACAACGAAGATGGAGCTTTGCTTGAATATGCAATTATGCATTTCTTTAATTAAAAAGCTTCTTCAAACAGGCAAAAATATTAAATGTTTATCTTGAAGGAATTAAATGCAATATTTTTACAAGTCTTTTATCTTTAAATTGAAATACTGGTTCGCTCCATAATATTGGTATAATAATTCTACACCAATGACGGTTTACAAGAAGGCATAAAGATAAGCATTTATGGTATGTTTGAAGATAATTAAATATTTTATAAAGGCATTCGTTCGGTAATGTAGTCATGCTTGTTTTAAAGCTTCAAGTTAGAAAATTTTTAACTAATGTTTAAGAACACTGAGTAATCTTTGTAGATTTACGGCTTTAAGTTGTTTCTTTCTGTTAACATCAAGGGCATCTACATAACATTAAAGACATGTGCCATGATTCTGGTGGTATTGACTTAAAATTCACAATATTCGATCCTCCAAATGGGATTATTCTTATGTTTCGTGTATATAATAACACTGAATGATATATTGATTAAGAGAGACATAACATCCTGATACATTCGTAGTTTATTCAGAAACATGACATTCAGATTTAAAAGAATACCAGGCATGAGACTGATTCTATGCCCTCTGAATATCTGATTTATTTAATCAAAATGATGATGATTAGGATCCTTTTGATCCAGCAGGCACTTGGACTTATGAATTTCTGGAGAGATGAATTTTGGGTAAGATTGCGATATAAGATTATTGTTAGTCCATGAAAATTAGAAATTGGTTGATTTTTTTCATATTTGAGATAGGAGTTTGCCAATACTTGAAGCTTTTTACTATGAAAACTATTCCAAGTTTTCAATTTATTTTTTTCTAATAGCCATTTTGCAGTATCAATAAGATTACTTTGTTCAAATTTTGGTCTAATTTATTCAATAATTAAATTATGTAGTCGTGTAATAAAAAAATAACTACGAAAATTTGGTAAATATCACAAACCTTTAAACTATTTAAGCTCTGCTCGATTTAGAATTGTCAAGTCTCCAATTACTGATTCTGATGACGGAAACATTTGGAAGTTCCGCAAGATAACTAGGTTCAAGTAAGGAATGTAAAACTTCAACAGATTATATGGGCTTGTCTCTGCCAATCCGACTTTTATAAAAAAAAAATGTCAGTTTCAAAAATAGCCAAAAAAAAAAAATGAGAATAAAACATAATTAAAATTTATTTACTTTCATCAAGTAGGACAACTGTTATTAATGGAAATTCATCTAAGCTTCTCTTTTGATACTTTGACGATGCCATCAGATATTGACAATGATGAATCTTTCACCAATGTGAAATTACTGATTTATCTAATGCACAAATTTATAATTATATAAGGATTAGGTTTAGCATGCAATATTAGAATCACAAATCAAAACGGGTACTCCATACATGCTCTATAAAGATTCGATTCTAAACTAGACTATGATTTAGATTCGCTTCTAGACTAGACTATGGTTTAGATTCGCTTCTAGACTAGACTATGGGTTAGATTCGCTTCTAGACTAGACTATGGGTTAGATTCGCTTCTAGACTAGACTATGGGTTAGATTCACTTCTAGACTAGACTACGTTTTTTTTAGATTCATATGGGTTAAATTCGTGGGTTAGATTCTTATCCTTTAATCCGTATGTAAATTCGGGGCAAATTTGCCCCGAATTTTGTAAAATAATTTTTATCCACTCAAACTATAATAAATACTATAAATTGGTTATAA